ATACGCGCAGGCCAACTATCATCCCTCCTGGATTCGGCCATCACTAACAAAAGACACTTCGTTGATCAGGTACCAATGAACGCTCCACTGGGACACAGCAACCACTGACCTGCAATTTCATCCACTATTCAACCAGAAACCCCGAACCTCAAAGGTGGATTCGATACTTCTGCCGTGCAGACCTTTTGGGAATGCGCGTCTTTATTGAACGAGTTAAACTAGGACCTGCACCAGTGGAACACTTATATGGCACCATTGTACAGAAACTTCACGAGGCTGACGCGATGTTCGTCCAAGAAAAGCACGCAGCTGGAAATGAGATCTCAACTTTTTTAGAAAAAGATGGCTACAGAAGACGCAGAAGCCGAGCTGGCATTTACTTATATTTGGAACCACTGTCAATCAGGAATCCGCCAGTGGAACGTATGAAAACAAGCCGCCATTCTGAGCCTCACCCAGAAAAACAGAAATGTACCGTTCAATTACACGAGAGATAGCTGCTGAAACAAGCGATCCGCGTTATCCTTGAGGGTTCACAAAGAGGTTCACAAAGAGCACTTTGCAGTTCTATATTCAGCCACAGTGTGTTCTTCACATCCAATCTCGTCAAGGTGTAAATATGAACATCCTCTAAGCAAATCGGTCTTTACGGTGAAGGACATTCTTCAACTCCTGCGCAAGAACAACCCGTTCCACGCGTAGAGCCCCGACAAGGTCCATTCAAGTATCCTGAAGGAAACGTCGTCTACACCGGCAAACCATTTATGTGTGATCTTTCCTCAGTCGCCTGAAAGAAGCTCGGAAGGAAACGGTTGTCACGCCAATCTACGAAACTTGTGACCGACTATCGCCCGGCAGTTATGTGCCTATAAACCTCACTAGCGTGCCGTACACGGGGATTTAATGCATACTGAAGCGAACTACCTTGGATCACCTTACTTCCAACAATTTGATATCTCCAGCCCAACGCGGATTTCCCGAAACCGTTCCTTGAGGTTATGCCTCCAGGTTATGCTAGCTCAGTCGACAGCGCAAGCAACCAACTCTGCCCTACCAATTAGCTACGGGAGGCGGTTGGTCAGTACTCCAGCTTAGCGCGTGAGCCCAAAACTTGAGATGTTGGTGTTCACGTACCGCTGTCTGCTTGTCCTTGTCGATTCACGGATTCACGGATTGATACACAGGATCAAGGCTATTGCCCAAGTTTCCCGGGTCGGTTTTGTTCCTCTCGGTAAGTGGCTGTCGTTCACCTGAAAGGCACAAGTGAAAAAAGGGTGTAGCACTGCTCTTCATGTTCTCAGCGCGGAGCAGTATGCTC